GCAATTTGTAATAATTGATAGTAAACCCTAATAAGAGCTATGAAACGACAAAATGGATTATGATAAACCCTAATTTCCTAGAGTAAAATGAAGAATTGAAATAAATTGCACGAAAACTGAATTAGAAAAAGAAGAGATGTCGAGGCTTTTTGTAGGAGATGATCTCATTGAAGAAGAAGAGATGGGAAGAGGAAAATTTGGAGATCGTGGGGAGAAGCAGTCGCACAAGAAGTTGAATGAATTTGATTTTTTTTTTTTAATGTGGAATTGAAATCAAAGAAAATTTATCGCTCTCGAATTGACTCGTGCAGTTTAATAAGAAGCAGTTTACGGTTGAACTTATTTGCGAATTATAGTAAAAAGATATAATTCCCCCGGAAAAAAAAAATTTGATTTGAGTTTCTAATAAAAAATTAAGTCGTCATGACAATGTTTCGATTATGCCCAGAGTTAGTGAAGTTCTTTTTCTTTTATTAATCTAGAAAACTCGGGATCGAGATTCGTACATGTCCACATCAATTTTCCATGCATGGATTTATGGTATTCTCTTATATATATATTTTTTTTTGAAATGTTGGAGGATATAAGAGAATTGATTTTTGTTTCAATTGATTTTCTTGTGTGAATTCGCAACGAATTACAGTGGGAAATCAAAATCCGTGTATAACATTTTTGATGTGTCCCACTTGTGCAAAATATTTCCGGAAAAATCATAAAAAACGACACTCATTTCCATTCTGGTGACCTTAACCGACATGAAACCTTGTCCATCGTAGAAAAACTTCATATCCTCTGGTTTTGTCCAGTTGTAATAGCCTCTCCATGCCTTTGACCCACCGCCACTCGTGAGAAACTGAATTGGACTGTAAAAACAAAAACAAAATATGATCCACATACATACCCTTTCTCTTTTATTATCTGCTTCGAATTCATATAAACACATAATTTGTTTCTATATAACAATTGGTGTTACCTCTGAGATGTGCTGATATGTTGTAAGCAATGATCATGACCGTTCACATAGAGATCAATTTTATTCGCCTGAAAAATCCAAAAAGAATTACGTGTTGTAATATGGGTTTTTACTTTCAGTGCTCTTTGCAAAAATATTTATGTGAAAAATATATATCAAATATAAGTATTTT